ATGTCTCCGCAGCAAAAGTGGAGACCGCAGATGCGTCCAGCTTTAAGATTACAAACGATTTGCTCAACCATATTACAAGGCTTCTGACCGACTTTGGCAGGATTCAAAGTGTCTGCGATTCTCTAAAAGAGACAAAAGTGAGTAATGATGGTTGTTGGGGTGCACGCTGTGCGCAGTCCCCGTTTGTGCCCTAATTTCCATTCTTCATCCCTGTTCCTCACCCTTCTTTGCCCACATTTTATCAACAATTTTGTTGCGGTGTTACTCCAATCCAGGATTTGGAGAAGGCGATGATGATAAAAAGATGGCTAGAAGAGCTCCTTGATGATGCAAAGGCAACGAGGCCAATGATGGAGCGGGCACTACACCTGCCCATAACACAAATGTCTTCCTCTGATAAGTACAGTAAGGTACGCTAACGCTCTTCCCTCACCAACCTTTGTGCGCTTTTTTATACACATTTTATTCCTATGATGATGGTGCAGCAAAAATGTTTGGGAAAATGAAACGGCAAGACTTAAACAGAACCAGGCGTGGGATTCGAATTTGGCAGTTTGGTGGAACATTAATTTTTTTTATTTGCTGGAGCAATCGGACGTTGACACCAACCTTCTTCACGTACATGCTAAGTTAAGTAAGGCGTTTGTTTCTGTAGGTTGTAGCAATGCCATGACGCTAAGGGCGAAATAAGGGAAAGACGTGCGTAAATATCGCAACCCGTAGCCTTCACTAAGAATGACTCCTGCGTATAAACTTAATGATGCCTGCAAACTTGACGGAGGTAGTGCTTTTCAACCGAGTCGTACCAGTGTAGATAAAATTAAGTATAAAAACACTCTGCTCTGTTTTTTGATAGCTCATCCAAAGTCTGAAAGAGTTCAACCTTGTCGTGGCCGACGACTCGGTGTCCCCTCCACAGCCACAACAAACTCCTAATCGGCGCGACATTGGCAGACCAAGGTAGGTAAAGCATCACGACCGTGCTATTCTACTCACCGCGTTACACACGTGGATGGTTTTGAAGTGCGTAAGATGGTCGAGGTCTCCCTCCTTTCTTAAGTGCTGTCAGATTGGTGTGTTTATCCCGGTGTGAGAATAGAAGAAAAGGAGAAGGGGCGACAGCCGGTAATGCTAGTGTAGGGGTCAACAAGGCGTTAATTGTTGCTGCTGTATGCTCATAAGCGAAAACGCCACCTCATTCAGCACCATCGCGGTGAAGTCTCGGGTGAAGCTGTTCATAGGCGGTCTACAAAAAGGCCACACGGAGGGACAATTGAGGCAGCACTTTGCCCAATACGGTACTGTCACTGAGTGCAGCATTGCGAGGGACTACAATACGGACGAATCAAAGGGATTTGGCTTTGTCGCCTTCAGTGAGGTGGAACACGCCTCTCGTGCGTTGGCTGCCAGCCCCTACCAACTCAACGATAGCCTCGTGTATGCGAGACCCTACAGGCTGAGGACGGA